GCAGAACCAGAGACAGCAAAAGTCAGGCGGGAACCCGTTAGCGTTTGCGAACGCTAACCCGTCTACGAGGCCAACAGGCGAGACAGTTGCAGTAATCCGGCAGCAGGATCCGATGATCAACGCTGAAGGCTTTGCTGATACAATCACCCGTAGGGTGATGCAGGCGATGGAGATGAGGCTAGACCAGGAGAAGAAGCAGACAGCCCTTGAGAGCAGCGTTGCAGTAGACGAGATGATGGCAGACTGGTCCTTTACTATGTCGTCAGCAGTCAACGTAGACATTTCACATCACGGCCTGGCAGATGAAGTACAGCAAACTGAAGAAGATGATGCCATCTTCACTGAAGCTGAGGTACTGGCGTGGGTGGCTGATAGTCTCCCGTTATCGTTCCCGCTGATCCTGCTGAGACGTACTGTATGAAGGATGATGACTATGAATCAATTACTATCCTGCCAATGAAGCCCATTGCCCAGGTATCAGACAACCTGAAAGCAGCCTTCGAGAAAGCTTCGAAGACACAGGGGCAACATACTCCGCAGTTTAACCCTAGACCATTCCGACATCACAACACGAGTCAGTTCGACAAGGCGCCAGAAGTTGATGAAGATTTATATCTGGTCACTGACTCGAAGTCTCGCAGTTACAAGATAGAAGAGACTGGCGCAACTTGAAACGACAACCCGTAGAGCCTTTTAAGGGTTAGCAAGATCTAGAGCCATCAACGAGGCGTTGATGTACGCCTTCAAGAATCCTAAGACGGAAGAAGAAAAGATGATCAAGTCTACCTTAGTGGTCCAGCGCAAAGATCAGGAGTTTATCTCCGATCATTTGGCTTCTACATCGGCGGGCATCACCCTTTTACGTCGACAAGGGTTGCTGAGTTCCAGTACGTGGCCAGATGTCTACACCAAGCCTTTACTAAGGAAGCCTTGGGCAGTGCCTACCCTGTTTGACAGCGGCATCCGGCAGTTGTCACGTGAAGTATCTCAAGACTCCAAAGACTTGATGTTGATTAAGTCCGTACAGACGATGAACACCATGGTGCGTCAATCAACTCAGCGTAGTCAACTAAGATCCTGTTTCTCTGGTATTCAGAGAGCCAAAGAGAAGAATTTCTCGACTTCACATGGCGGCAACTCGGGGTCTTTTCGACGTCCCAGTAACGTCAGAAGTTACTCAGGCCGAGGAAGATCTCCGCCGCTCGCAGAAGATCCCGTTACTGAAGAGAAGGTTCGGAGCGACTGGTCGCTGCCACCCCCAGCCGTTCCGGTACATCCGTGGGTGGACGTCTGGGCCTATACTGGGAAAATTGGAGAATACTACAGGACGATTACGTCACAGAAGTCTTACGAGAGGGCTACAGCATCCAGTTGCAGTCGACACCACCGTTGACAGATCAACCGTTGGTCTTCAAGTACCCTCAACTACAGCGAGACAAGCTCACCGAAGCTATTGAGATGTTGGTGTTAAAAGATGCTGTAGAGGGAGTCGATCAACGCAGACAGACGCGCGGGTATTACTCTCCAATTTTCCTAGTACCAAAGAAGAACTCCCAAGAGAAGTTCCGTCTAATCTTCAATATGAAGAGCTTCAACAGGATTACCTGTTGAAACCAGAGAAGTTCAAGATGCTACATCTACCTCAGCTGAGACATCTTATCCGACCCAATGACTTCATGGCCAGCATAGATCTGCAAGATGCCTATCTACATATACCAATACATCCAGCATCATGGAAATACCTGAGATTCCTGTTCGAAGGTTATCATTACCAATGGAAGGTACTGCCGTTTGGAATTTCGTCAGCCCCGTGGTTATTTACGCGAATAACCAAACCGATTGTCGCTAATCTCCATCAGAGGGGCTTACGGAAGTGCCTTCTACCTAGACGACTGCATCCAGGCACATCAAGATGCAGATCAACTCAAACTACAACTGCAGTTTACGATCAACCTATTGACACAGTTGGGCTGGCTGGTGAATCATCAGAAGTCGGAGTTGGAACCGACCCAAGATCTACAATTCTTAGGCATCAGATTCCTGACGTCAGAAAATCGCATCCTGGTGCCAGACAACCGATGGCAGAGCATCCAGTCGTGCATACCAGACGCTCTCAACAATCCACTAGACTTGAGAACGTGGCAGCGAATCTTGGGTCTATTGACGTCAGCACAGGCTCTCACCCGCAGAGGAAGATTACAACTTCGTCCGCTACAAAGGGTTCCTGATAACGCGCATGTCCAGAAGTTTGCCATCCCACAACATCTAAAGCAAGCCTTGCTTTGGTGGAAAATAAAGTCGAATGTTTGCGGTGGAACTATTTGAGAGAGCCAAATTACAACAGACATCTCTACGTGGATGCGTCCCTCCAAGGTTGGGGGGCACATCTCAACGACGAAGTTATGGCAGGGCGGTGGTCACAAACAGAAGGGTCTGCACATCAATCAGCTAGAACTGAAAGCAGTAATAGAAGCAGTACTACATTGGGCGGCGCAATTAAAGAATCAGGTACTGATGATACACACAGACAACTCCACGGTGGCCTTTTACATAAATCTGCAAGGGTCCACAAGATCAGCGCCGCTGCTTCAACTGACGTTCCAGCTATTCGACATCGCAGACAAAATCAACCTGAAGATGAGGGCTTGCCACATCCCAGGGGCAAAGAACATCTTAGCAGACACTTTATCCAGACCAGTACGGCCATCTCCCACAGAGTTGAAGTTACATCCGAGTGGATAACAGCCCGACTAGGCTGTCCTCACATAGATCTGTTTAAGCACTCGCTTCAACAATCAGGTGACAACATTTGTCTCGCCAGTGCCAGACCAGCTGGCATGGGCTGTCAATGCCATATCATGGGAAGGGATGAAGGCTTATGCCTTCCCTCCACCGATCCTGTTACCACAAGTACTTCGCAAGATCAGCCGGACGAGGGTCCTACAACTGACTTTGGTAGCGCCTTACTGGCCAGCAAGACTATGGTTCCCAGACCTCATAGATCTTCACGGCGAACCTGTACTACGACTCCCAGACTGGCCGAATCTACTCGTCCATCCTCACACCAAGCAGCGATGACACGGCAACCCAAAAGCGTTCCAGCTACACGTATGGAACATATCACATACTGCTTGAAGAGTCGAGGATACTCCACTAGAGCAGCCAAGGCAGTAACCTTGGCTCTACGTAGATCTACACGTAATCTATATGATGACAAGTGGAGAAGTTTTGAACAGTATGCTGCTCAACATAAGTTCACGGCCAGAAGAGCGACTAATCCACAAGTAGCAGAGTACTTGTGTCATTTGAGGTCCACTAGACATCTGAAGGGTTCCACATTGTCTACTTATCTTGCAGCAATCAGTTCGGTCATCACCATGAAGACAGGGGTGAAATTGACCAAAGTGCCTGAACTTGTAGCCCTGCTGAGATCATTCAAGTTAGAAGATCACAACAGAAATTCAGGGCACCAGCTTGGGACCTCAATATAGTACTACAGCACCTCATACGTGAGGTATATGAGCCGCTGACACAGACGACATTTGAGTTATTAACTCAAAAAGACAATATTCCTCCTCGCCTTGACTACTGAAGCTTGGATGTCTGAGATACACGCCCTTGACTTCCGCCGTACGAGATTCGACACGGGAAGAAGGGAAGCAGTCCATCTAGGCCTTAGATGGGACTTTATTGCCAAGAACCAGCTACCGGGACAACCGGATCGTCAATTCTACATTCCAGCATTATCAACTATCTTGGGTCCACAGGACACTCAAGATCTATCATTATGTCTGGTAAGAGCGCTGAAAATCTACTTGCAGAAATCTGCTACGAGAAGGAGGAAGTTCAAGCGTCTATTTATCCTGCTATCACCCGCTACGACGGTAGAAGTCTCCCGTACTACGGTCTCCTTTTGGATCAGAGCGGTGATCTTAAGGGCCTACAAAGCAGCAGGGTTAGAACCTCCAAGAGCATCTAACCCACATGAAGTAAGAGCATTGGCCTCGACACTCGCCCTACATGGAAATTGCTCAATATCATCTATAATGGAAGGCTGCTTTTGGAAGTCAGACACTGTCTTCGCTAACCACTACCTGAGAGACATCTCCACGGAAGATGTATCTGGTATACATCAATTCGTCCCTCTAGTCGTAGCGCAGCAACTCACTATGCCGGCCAGACGATAAAGAATCTCACCCTTGTCACGCAGATTCGTTGACGCCAGGCAACTGTTCCATTGCCACCGGCTAAGAGTCCATATTCCCCTGTTTTACGAGATAAGACAGCGCATGAGTGATACATAGACTCAGTTATGATAATGTTCTTGCCTTAACAGATGGGTTGCGATACCAGTTTTGGTAATGTTCTTACCGTAAACATATTGGATCGTTGCAGAATATCTAGACAACACAACGTCTAGTATACTAAATCCACAAAACTTAAGAAGTTTACTTCTAATACGAATGTATAAGAAGGTGGTCCCCCAATTAACATCAAGATAATATTGAAGTTAGCCGCAGATGAAGAAAATTCCAAGGGGGTAAATCGAGCGAACGCTGACGTGAATACAATCATGCAGGGAATCCCGTAGGTGGCTGACCTACCGCCTATCCATCGGATTTAGAAAGCAAATAATCATGAGTCACAATAAGGAAAAATATTTAATTTTTATGATAAAATTAATATTTTATACTTATCCTGACTCATGAGATGAAGCCCTCCCAACCGTCCCCTCTCACCACACAGGTTTCCCTGTAGACCTGAGTGGGGCATATTTCGGAGAGAGTGAGGACCAAAGGCATGGGAGGTCACGTGGCGGGTTTTGGCGGGAAACCAAGGGAGGTAATGAAGGGTGAGTGATTGTACGTTTGCTTCAAGGGAATTGAAAGGATTCAAGTTTCCACTTGACCGTTTGGAAGAGAGGATGAGAAAGCAATTAATCCTGAGTCAGGGTAAGTATAAAATATTAATTTTATCATAAAAATTACATTTTTCATCTCTGATTTCCATGGAAGGGATTTGGATGTAGTCTAAAAAAATTCAAGTTGGACTTTAAGTAACTGCCAGATGATTTGTTCTTTCAAATATGTGGGGCCGGCGGGATTTGTCATCTTCTGATGACTCTTGTTGGAACTGTTGTTAAGTCTGGAATTGATTATTCTCCTTGTAAATATCCCTGTCTAGGTAACAATAGGTAAAAAACATAATGGTCCCCTGTCATGGTTAGAAAGTTCCTTCTTTCTTTTCTTGGAATTATCATGTGTTTTGATGTCCTTATTGACCCTACTCATTGATCAAATTGTGTTTGAGGTGTAAATTTAGATTGCAATTGATGTAATGGTTTGAATGCAACTCTAAAAAACTAATTATCACCAAAAGTTATTTAGTGTTAAGATATAAATATCTCATAGGTCTCTCTTGTAACACAGTATTGTCAAACTTGTCACATGATACAATTCTACTTTCATACATTTTACTTTCAACGACATTAAACATTTGCTATAATCTTTTCTTTGGATATTCAGATCTCAAATAATGATGAAATAACTCAGAAATTTGCGTTAGTTGAAACTTATTTGGAAGATGTCACAATGATACCGACATCTGCACAAGAAATCATTGTATTTTGTATGTATGTCCCTCACCTCACCTCACCAATAAGTTTCATTATTAACATGTTATACTTGTTATAGTTTGTCAAAGTTTTAAAATGTTGTTCTTTTGTTACAACCAGACTGCCATAAAGAAAAGCAAATAACCAAAGTGTATGTTTTTGTGTTGGGAATATATATATAGCAGTATGGTGACATTTTTGTTGTTGGCGACTTGAATTCAAGGACTGGAGAAAGACCCGACTACATTGAATATGAAACCCTTTCCGATGTGGAACATTTACCATTACCAGATGACTATATATTGGACGACATACAAGCAGAAAAATCCTTCATGAACTTTCATAATTGTGCTTTTAAACGTGTATCTGAAGATTGTGTTGTAAATGAAAACGGACTTAAATTACTTGAGTATTGCAAAATGTACCAGTTAAGAATTATTAATGGTCGGATTGGTGATGACAAAGGTGTTGGTAATTTTACATTTTGTAACAAAAGAGGAAACAGTGTAATTGATTATGCTTTGTCGACCATAGAATTTTTAACAACAGTATGTGATTTTAGTGTCAGTAACTGCACAGAATTCTCAGACCACAATTATGTCAGTATAACATTCAGAACGAATGTCTGTAAGCATTATGGTAACCAATCTGGGACCACCCGTAAATCATTTAAATGGAGACCGGATAGGAAACAGGATTTCATTGACACTTTGAATTCTCAACCTTTCTCTGACAAACTAGATAGTATTTGTAGTATTCTGGATCTGGTGAATGTAGATGCTATTGACATTGACAGTTGTGTCAGTTCATTCAACAGTCTGTTGGAGGAGGTGGGGAAGTCTCATTTGATTGGCCCTCAGGTCAGCGCCTCTGCAGAAGCGGGAAAGTGTTGGTTTGACACGGATTGTGATGTGCTTAGGTCAGAGTTCAAGGCAGCGGAGCCACACTACAGGAAAACTGGGTCAGATACAGATAGGATAACTATGGTAACTTGTAGAAACATTTATAGAAAGACATGTAAAATTAAAAGTAGAAATTCTGCCAAAGATTCCGCTAGGTTATTATCTACATTGTGTAAGGAAAACCCTACGCAATTTTGGAAAAGTGTTAGGCCGAAGTCGATTGATAGTACACATGGTGTGTGTAATTTTGCTGAGTATTTTAAAAAGTTGTTGAATCCTGATATTGTTCCAAAGTTAACTGATGAGGTGGTCGAGGTAACTAGGAAATCTGACAACGGTATGGTTCAGCACTGGGTTGACGAGTTAGACCGTGACATTACTGCGGTTGAAGTACATGTGGCAATTAGTAAATTGAAGTGTAATAAAGCAGCAGGTTACGATGGCATTATTAATGAATTCCTTAAGGCGGAGAAGATACCTTATCTCCAGTAATTACTATGTTATTTAATGCTATCTTGAAATCTGGTAAATTCCCCTCTGAATGGAGAAAGGGCGTTATTGTCCCCATTCATAAAAAAGGAAGTAAATTAGTTGCAGATAATTATCAAGGGATTACACTTCTCTCTTGTGTCAGCAAGTTGTTTCTCCCTCTTGACAGTGTTCTAAATAACAGAGTCAAACAGTGGTGTGTGTTAACTACTCCCTCTTGGTAGAAGAACAGTTTGGTTTTAGAAAACGGACTGTTATAGCATTATATTGGCTGATTGTATGTTTATTCCCTCCATTCGGACTGATAAATTTATATAGATGTGTCCTCCTGTGTTAAATACAAGTTCTCCACTACTCTCTTCGTTATTACTCACGAAGTGGCAGAGTAGGTATTCAGAGTTCCATCAATGTACAACTGGGCCGATGAGTAAAGGGGTGAAATTATATTGTGCTTTTGTGGATTTTCAGAGGTAAAACTATGTTGATAGGCAAGCCCTTTGGTTTAAACTCTATTCTTTGGGTATTAGATCCAAATTTCCATCATTAATTAAAAATATATATATAGATGTGTCCTCCTGTGTTATATTTGCTGATGATATGGTCTTGTTCAGTGAATCTGTCGAGGGATTTTGCAGCGTGGTCTTGGTTTCCTACAGAGATATTGTGACAAGTGGGCCATCACTGTTAATACAGATAAAACTAAGGTTGTTATTTTCAGAAAAGGGGTAGATTGTCAAGAGAGAAATCTGGTATTATGGTGATCAGGTACTAGAAAATGTTAATAGTTTCAAATATTTGGGTATTGTCTTCTCGGCAACAGGTAGTTTTTCCCAGGCACAAAAGACTCTATCGGAGCAGGCTATGAAATCCTTATTTTCGCTACAATGAATATTGTTGTCCAATCCATATATGTCCCCTGCGGCGCAGCAGTATCAATTATTTAAAAGCTTAGTACTGCCAATTTTATGCTATGGCTGTGAAGTTTGGGGATTTATGGAAGCCCAGCTATCGAAAGAGTCCACTTAAAGTTTATTAAGCAGGTTCTGCGTGTTAAAAGATCAACACCATCAGCTTTTGTCTATGGTGAAATGGGCGCACTGCCATTGATTACTATTAGATTGGTACGCATTGTGAAATATTGGATTAAGATTATCACCTGTGACAAACCGATATATATATATATAGGGCTCTAGCTGCCTCGCAGAATCCAACATATAGTCGACAATGCTCGGCAGAATCCAACATATACGACATGGGTTACTCTCATTAGAGACTTGTTGTTTCATTATGGATATGGTTTTATCTGGTTACAACAGAAATTGACTCTAAATTTTACAGCATTTATCAGTGCTTTTAGACAAAGGGTTATTGATATACATTCTCAAATGTGGAAATATAATCTAAGCTCACTTAGTGAAACAAGAATATATTTGCTTATCAAATCATCACTTACCATGGAAAAGTATTTATCTCATATTGATATTATAAACTATAGGGTAGCCTTGACACGACTACGATTATCTTCTCATTCACTTATGATTGAGAAAGGAAGATGGGCTCGACCAAAACTAGCTTTAGAAAACCGATTATGTCCTTTTGCAAAATGACATAGAGGATGAATATCATGTTATCATGGTTTGTCCTAAGTACTTGACATTTAGACGTCGCTACCTACCTCTGGACGTATACAAATCTCCAAACATGATGAAGTTTATAAGTCTTCTACAAACTAAAGTTGAAGTATTAACCTTCAACTTAGCCAAATTTGTTTATCATATATTTCAGGTAAAGCAAAACTATAATCTGAATTATCCATGAATGTTTATTTCCTTCTTAGTGCTATCTTCTGTCACGAAAGGTCTTTGCAAGTGGGTTGGGTTGGGTGAGGGGGGAGGCAAATGTTGGCAATGCGCTTTTGAAAGTATGTATGATGTATTTGTCATGTTGGCCATTGGCCTATTAAAGAAATAAACATATATTTGTATATCTACAGCATGTGTCACTGTAATGTGGTCTATGGCATTTATGAAACAATACATGCAGTTATGTTATATGACCTTGTTTGTGTATTTTCCCACTGTCTGATGTTAAATCTGCTTTCTATGATAGTATATCTCATCTTGATTGAATTGTTGGATTTCACCAAGTATTCTTATATTTGGCTAGCCTCATTAAAAGGCTGTTTTTAAAGTCACATTTACTTGCACACTGCAAATTAGATAATTTCAAAGTAAAATCTGACAAAGAGCAATTCATTTAGACAATTTTAATGTGTGCAGGTGTACAAATAATGAAGGCTCTGCTTTATATGGTTTCAAGGATTATGCATCTGCCATATACAATTCAGAAATTTCTGCAGGAAAAAAAATTCTGCCAGAAATTTCTGCAGAAATGCATTTTCAGAGCCAATTTGTGAGCTTATGAAAACATGAACACACTTGCACATTATATTTTTGGATTCATCTCCTTGAGATCTTTCCAATGATATCAAAAATGTTTTTGTAGCATGCTTCCTTCTGGGTGTCAAGTTAGGACTGGCTGGCCATTCCTAAGTTGTCCCGCCCGGCCTTTGTGGAAACAGTAGGATTTCCAGACGGTAGTACCATGTTACACTATGTGCAATAACATGATATGTCATGTGGTAACAGTAGGATTTCCAGACGGTAGTACCGTGTTACACTATGTGCAATAACATGATATGACATGTGGTAACAGTAGGATTTCCAGACGGTAGTACCGTGTTACACTATGTGTAATAACATGATATGACGTGTGACAACAGTAGGATTTCCAGACGGTAGTACCGTGTTACACTATGTGTAATGACATGTGGTAACAGTAGGATTTCCAGACGGTAGTACCGTGTTACACTATGTGCAATAACATGATATGTCATGTGGTAACAGTAGGATTTCCAGACGGTAGTACCGTGTTACACTATGTGCAATAACATGATATGTCATGTGGTAACAGTAGGATTTCCAGACGGTAGTACCGTGTTACACTATGTGCAATAACATGATATGTCATGTGGTAACAGTAGGATTTCCAGACGGTAGTACCGTGTTACACTATGTGCAATAACATGATATGTCATGTGGCAACAGTAGGATTTCCAGATGGTAGTACCGTGTTACACTATGTGCAATAACATGATATGGTGATAATATGATATGACATGCAGTAACAACATGATTACCAGAGTATAAAAACATGTTTCACTACACGTTAACATGGTGTCCTCCAAAAGTTAGACGTCCCAAAAGTTAGACGCGTTAAAACAACAAAGGTTATGGTTGTTTGCACTGAGGATCACTACACTGTTACCTTCGTTAATTAATGGACTAGTCCAAATGTACTTTATAGCAGGGTCAACGTGGGCATAGACTACCAACACTCTGCTGGGATGTGAGGTTGTTTATTTCGGTGAATGTGATCAATAAACGACACCCTGTAACAATAAATGTAATAATATTATATACATCTCACACAATTCATACAAGATGCATATAATTCCATACACGGGTTAATACATATGGACAATTACCAATAATACCGTAGTTACTCAAAGCATGAATACCATTATTTACAACACATATGGAATATGGGCATTATGAAATTACAGCATAGAAGATAGATAATAATACACCATTACGCATTAGTCGTAATGATAATGTACCCATGAGTCGTCACCACGCATTACGTGATGGTACTATATACAAATACATGGATATAAAAAGACATATACACATACCCTGTGGGTGGTACAAGGGTGCACAACAATCGGGCACAGCACCGGTCTTATGGACGGGAACTTATCTGCTGCAAATAATATTAGATGATAAATAATATACAATGTAATGTGGAGTAGATTTAGGGCTGCTACATTCATTAACATAAAATTACTTCCACACATTGATAATTACACTTATAGTTATCACAGTTAAAACATAGCAACTTATATAAAAACACATTCTCTCATCTCACACATTCAGTGAAAGGGATAGTAAAGATAGGAAACTATAAGTGATATTTCTTGATGTTATAGCTTAGGATTGGAAAGCTAGCATAAATACATATAGCACACTTACATGCTATACAATATAATACCTATTTAAATGATAGTAAATAGATATGCGTTTATTATATATATACTGCAAGGATTAAATGCAATATTACTTTAATTAATTGAATACTAACCTTAATGTCACACTGTGTGTCTGTCCAAGCTGTCTTTACGTGGCAATGAGTCAGTGCAGAATGAGTGAAATTGTGCATGGAGGGTGTCTTCTTATGAAGTCACTAGTAGGGTGAACACTATTCGCACTAAGTCACTGGCGATTTTGCTTTGAAGTTTCTAATCCAATCAGGATTAACGTATTAGGGATTAACGGATTAGTCAGTTATCCGAGAATGGGAGGGTTAGTAAGTCGTGTCTTGAGTTCCTGGAATGATCTCTCTTGCTCCGTCTCCCATTGCCATTCCTTCGTGCTTGGGGCACGCTTCTTGGATTTCTTATCCTTGGGCATGAGCTGAGATAGAGGCCTGGCAATCTTCGAAAAATCCTTAACAAATTTGCGGTAATAACTGGCAAATCCCAGGAATCGCCTTACTTCTTCCGGATTAGATGGAGGTGGCCAGTTAGCGATCTTCTTAATTTTGTCCGGATCCGCTTCTATGCCATTTTCTGATACAATGTAGCCGACATACTTGACTCGACGTTGGAAAAACTTGCATTTCTTGGGTGCCAATTTCAATCCACAATCCATCAGTGTTTGGAGAACAAGTTCCAAACGCTTGACATGCTCCTCGTGGGTCTTAGAGAAAATGATCACGTCGTCAAGGTATATTAGACAGATGTCGAGACGAAGTCCTTCAAGACACTGTTCCATTAGTCGTTGATATGTGGCTGGTGCGTTGGATAGTCCGAAAGGCATTCTGTTGATTTCATAGAATCCAAGAGGTCCTACAGTGAAGGCAGTCCGTTCCTTGTGGCTTTCCTCAATTTCGACCTGATGGTAACCGGATTTCTTATCCAACACAGAAAAGTACGGATTTCCCTCAAGACATTTTATCAGATCTTCTATCCTTGGAATGGCATATGCATCCTTAATAGTCCTTTGATTCAAGTCACGAAAATCAATGCATACGCGTAGTTTTCCGTCCTTGTTTCGTGCTAGTACAGTGTTGGATGCCCAGGGACTGGGAGTTCCGAATAACTCCAGCTGACAAGAGTTGATGAAGATGAGATCTAACTTCTTCAAACATGCCTGGTGGAATATGTCTGTAGCGCTGCTTGAAGGGTTGCTCATCATTTAGTTCAATCCTGTGTCTGACAGCTGTGGAATGTCCTAAGTCCTCATTATGCTTGGAAAATATGTCCTTGAACTTCATTATGACATCAAGTCCCTACTCCCTCTGTTCTGGCGTTAAGTCCTTGTCCTCAATCTCGATCTGGTCCAACAGTGACTGATCATTCATGGGTCTACCAGTGGGTGGGTCCTGCAGAGTGACTGGCTGAAGCTCACATAAGATGGCTCTTGGTGCAACAACAATGTTCCTCGTAGTGATGTTGAACACATGAACGTCAATGGAATCATGGTTGTCTCGTCATAGGTGATGATAGTCGGAGCTATATCAACCTCTGATGGGATAGTAGCTTGTGGAGTAGGATGGAGGAGTGCAGTATACCTTGGAGCTCTAAGTCCCTTGCTGAGCTGGCCCTTGATGGTGACTTTACTATTTGAAGGGATGATGATATTCTTGCCTTCGGCACTCTTGACAAGTCCTAGCCTGTTCTTATTCAGTTCAAGTTCCTTGGCCTCGATGACAATGGTTCTGAAGGTTAAGTCCCATGGCGTGTGTAGAGGAGCTTTCTGTAGATACTTCATTCCGTGGTTCTGTTTTCATTTATCCAAGAGGCAATTGTTCTGTTTTCATTTATCCAAGAGGCAATTCAAGATGTTGGTACCTAGTAGAACTGGAACGCGACCACTATACCTTGTAATGGGGACGACTAGGAATAGAGATGAGATGGTATCATTGTCGTTTCCTCCACCGACTAAAGAGAGTTCAGCTCTCACGATTCCCTTATATGGTAGTGCTTCACCTCCTGCACACTCAATATCCAGAATGTCTCCTAGTGGTTCCAGAGGAAGATGCTTGAGATGATCCTGATAATATCCTTCCGATATAATTGATACGGTGGCTCCAGTATCCAGAAGAGCTTGCACTGGTTTTCCATCAATGAGAACCTCTGCTTCATTGGCATGTCCTACAAGTCCTGGTATCCTGTTGGGGCCTTGTAAAGAGCCTTGTGGTAACCCCTTCCCATAGGCCCTTGCCAGTTTAACGGGCGTGGCAGGTGATCCACTCATACTTGACATCCTATTGCTATGTGTCCAGTGTAGCCACATCTGTAACACACAACATCATTCTGTCTTCTTTGAGGCGGAGTGGGGTAACTTGCCAGCTGCTCCTGTTCATATCCGTAGCCCTGTGGTCCTGAGTGAGTGAAGGTACCTTGTGACTCTTGAGGCAATGGTGTTTGAACTTGAGGTTGCTGAACCTGTGTCTGAGCTTGGGCATCCTGAGGTCCTTGTGGCACTGGATACGGATAAGCCCCTGAAGAACTGTATTTATGTGGCGGTCCATACCCATGAGGAGGCAGTTGTGGCTGGTTACATCCATAATCTTTTCCTCTTCCTCGACCTCTATGCTTGTGTCTTGGTCCATATCCCTGTGTCTGAGGAAGGAAACTAGCTTGATGCTGGAACACATGCGCTGGCTGTTGTTGCCTTTCCTTGATCTCAGTGACCTCGGTGCGTAGTTGGTGTATGGCTGTAGTGAGCGTGTCCAGGTCTGACTTGGTGATGGTCTCAGATGGAGTGGCCATCTTCGCTGAAGCCGACTGTTTCCGTGATGAGGGTGCTGGTTCTCTTCCTTGCCTCAAGTCATACACAATCTCCCTGAGTGCAATCCGTAGCTCGTCAAAGGAAGAAACAGAATCAAACTTGTGGCCTGATACAGACTTGAGCGATCTCCGTAGTCCACTCCACAACATATTCCTCAACATTTCGTCCTGTTCCAGTGGTGGAATATCATGATGCTCCGTGACCTTTGACAGCAAGTGTTCCAAGCGGCATCCCCATGAAGCAACATCCTCTTCATCTCTCTGAGCAGCACTATAAAACTGAGCCATGAGGGCTTCCTTCCTCTGCACAGTCCCATAAATGCTCTGTAACTTCCTCAGTAGGTCTTGGATAGTTGCCTTTGGTCCAAGGCACATGGCAACACGAGCGGCCTCTCCCTTCAAAGAATGTCTGATGGCTTGTTCCAGTACAGCAGCACTGTAGACAGACAACTGTTGAAGGCAATCCACTTCATAAGTCCACAGATCAAAGGTTGCATCCTTTCCGTGTAAGTCACCACTGAACGTAGGTAGCTTGGGATATGGAGGATTGGCTGAGGCTGTGGCTGAGGCTGTGACATGTGACTTGGCTGTAACTTGTGACTCATCGCCTAGTGGCTCAGGAGGAGCAGACAGTTTGCTAGGTTGGAGTGGTCCCTCTTGCTTTGCCATGTCCTGAATCCACGTCTTTAAGTCCTCCGGTTTTTCTGCCTTGGGTTGTAATCCCAACTTGTGGAATAACTCAACAATACCACTAAGTTCTTCCTGCTTAAACTCCATGGTTTAAGAGAACAAAATGATACCAAATATGACGATGCGATGAGTTTAAAAGTGAATTGATTTAACAAGGGGTACCTAATGTGAGTGGGGACAACCTTCAGTTGCTCTACACTTTCCTGACAATGTTTCGCTAATTGTCTGGTTTATACCACTTCAATCAAAACGAGCATTTCAGGAGACACAAGGGTAGAGCACCTTTGGCGTGTGTAATAAGATAATATAGTTACATGATTTGTGAAATGATATTGCAATAAGTAGAAGGAATGTGGCAGCGCTAGGGAAGTATGCCTTCCATATGTAAACAATTGATGACAGAATAAAACCCAAAAATTTAAGGTGAAATGGAGAATTGGGAATGTAAATTCAACTTACACAATAACACAGAAGTAAAACAATGATAATGTAGACGGGCAATACAAGGAGGTAAGGGTAAAGGGATGGGAAATGGTGCAGGGTGCAAAGTCTAAGTACAGTCTGTTGTCACACAGTCAGTATATTAACACAAGTTTAAGCTTTATTTATACCTACCCGATAGTAAATTACGCTATCATTTTATTTTGTTAGCAAGAGAGGAAGGATATAGAGTATGATATTAACCAAAACACACACTGACACCCAAACTGTAAGTTACATTATGAACTAAAGGGAATGTACACCTACCACTAATGAAAGGAATTTGAAATGCAAATGCAGTAACAAACACTAATGAATATTTACGTAAAACAAAGAGCAAAAGAACAACTAACTGCACTAAACACAAATAAACTTAGATAAACCCAAAACTATACCTATGAAAAAACCCTGAAATGCAACATGCTATTACATTGCACTATGCTAATCAAAATCTAAACCTTAACTAAACTAATCTAAATTGAAACAACTAAGTTAACTACAAATATAAACACACAAAAATAGTTACATGATAAATACTAAGTGTTGGTACCAACGATGAAGATAATACACTAAATATATAAGCCGGCAGTAATTATGTAACTTGAGTTACATAACTGAAAATTACATGAGAATATTAAGTAAAAAGATGAAAAGTTAAATTACACAATGAATTAACACAAACAATGAATATATATAACATGAAAATTACGCCAGGTATATAATACACAAAGGCTATAACTCACGTGAAGTGTCCATGATAATCCTCAATCCAAATACATGTACATGAAAACATGAATGAATGAATGAAAGTCACTATACACATTAAGTGTCACAAAAGAGTCACAGGCTCTCCAAAAAGGTCAAGGTCACAGCGTCATATCACTGGTCATCATCCAATGATGACGTTAACACAGATCACAATAGTCCAGTTGTCCAAGAGTATTTCTAGGTGCTGCCCAGTTCATCCATGCCCGAAACAATTCCTCACTGGGGGCTCCAAATATAGCAGGGTCAACGTGGGCATAGACTACCAACACTCTGCTGGGGTGTGAGGTTGTTTATTTCGGTGAATGTGATCGATAAACGACACCCTGTAACAATAAATATAATAATATTATACATTATATACATCTCACACAATTCATACAAGATGCATATAATTCCATACACGGGTTAATACATATGGACAATTACCAATAATACTGTAGTTACTCAAAGCATGAATACCATTATTTACAACACATATGGAATATGGGCATTATGAAATTACAGCATTACGAATAACGTAATGATAATACATGCATACAATGTAATACACAGAAGATAGATAATAATACACCATTACGCATTAGTCGTAATGATAATGTACCCATGAGTCGTCACCACGCATTACGTGATGGTACTATATACAAATACATGGATATAAAAAGACATATACACATACCCTGTGGGTGGTACAAGGGTGCACAACAATCGGGCACAGCACCGGTCTTATGGACGGGAACTTATCTGCTGCAAATAATATTAGATGATAAATAATATACAATGTAATGTGGAGTAGATTTAGGGCTGCTACATTCATTAACATAAAATTACTTCCACACATTGATAATTACACTTACAGTTATCACAGTTAAAACATAGCAACTTATACAAAAACACATTCTCTCATCTCACACATTCAGTGAAAGGGATAGTAAAGATAGGAAACTATTAGTGATACTTATTGATGTTTATAGCTTAGGATTGGAAAGCTAGCATAAATACATATAGCACACTTACATGCTATACAATATAATACCTATTTAAATGATAGCAAATAGATATGCGTTTATTATATATATACTGCAAGGATTAAATGCAATATTACTTTAATTAAATGAATACTAACCTTAATGTTACACTGTGTGTCTGTCCAAGCTGTCTTTACGTGGCAAAGAGTCAGTGCAGAATGAGTGAAATTGTGCATGGAGTTAGTGAGACCAATCAGCCGAGAAGCGTCATGGCTTGGGCAATTAGTGAGACAGGCCAAGCTCTAAAGCTTAAACCTTAAACTGCCTAGAAATAATATAGCTAAAAGGAGAGAATAATAATATGATTAAAATAATATATTTACACTAAAATACACCTGCCAGATACTAATCCAACCACAAAGAGAAGAGATTATGGATAATGACAATGACTTTATTTTATATTGTTTATGTTGGAAAAACAATGTTAGGAAGAAGGTAACTCCATTAGGTTAATGAAAACTCAAAAACATAAAAAATCTATAATCCTGTTTTCATCAAAGTGAACATCGTAAAAACAAGCAAGCAAAATCTCTGATCCTAGTAAGAATATTTCTGTGTTTCTTATTTGTTAGCATAGTGAAATATTTTTCTGGCTCTAAAAGGCTTTTCTCTACTGTTTATACCTTGAACTTTCTTCAATTGAATTATTCCATGACTGTATATACATGTCAACTGCAACTTGTTTAAACATTTGAAGAAACTGGGATGTATTGACAACACCTTGAAATAGCCAAACATAACCAAATCCATATGAAAACAATAAATTACGCACAGATGAAACATAGTTATCATAACCACAATAATCGAAATACATTAGCATATAATAAGCTATTTTATCCCTCAACGCCGCTTTATCCGTGGACCGTCCGTTCACATTTTGTCGCAGAACTCTAAAACTTTTCAATATTTATTCACCAAACTTGGCACATAGATAGATCTGGTGGTGTACTGGTGCCTTTTGGTAGTTTTGGAATTCTGAATAAAATATTTTTGGCGTTTCCATGGCAACAAGTTCGACTTATTATGAAATTAGTGGTAGTGCTCTTTTCCGGAGCAGAACTCTAAAACCGTTCACTATTTCTTCACCAAACATGGCACATAGATAGATCTGTTGGTGTACTGGTGCCTTTTGGTAGCTTTGGAATTCTGAATAAAATATTTTTGGCATTTCCGTGGCAACAAGTTTGACTTAGCCTAAATTGGTGGTAGTACACTTTTCCGGAGCTGAACTCTAAAACCGTTCACTATTTCTTTACCAAACTTGGCACATAGATTGGTCTTGTGCTGTACTGGTGCCTTTTGGTAGTTTTGGAATTCTGAATAAAATATTTTTGGCGTTTCCATGGCAACAAGTTTGACTTAGAATGAAATTAGTGGTTGTACACTTTTCCGAGCAGAACTCTAAAACCGTTCACTATTTCTTCACCAAACTTGGCACATAGATAGGTCTGGTGGTGTACTGGTGCCTTTTGGTAGTTTTGGAATTCTGAATAAAATATTTTTGGCGTTTCCATGGCAACAAGTTTTGACTTAGCCTGAAATTAGTGGTAGTGCTCTTTTCCGGAGCAGAACTCTAAAACCGTTCACTATTTCTTCACCAAACTTGGCACATAGATAGATCTGATGGTGTACTGGTGCCTTTTGGTAGTTTTGGAATTCTGAATAAAATATTTTGGGCGTTTCCGTGGCAACAAGTTTGACTTAGCCTGAAATTAGTGGTAGTGCTCTTTTCCGGAGCTGAACTCTAAAACCGTTCACTATTTCTTTACCAAACTTGACACATAGATTGGTCTGGTGGTTTACTGGTTCCTTTTTGGTAGTTTTGGAATTCTGAATAAAATATTTTTGGCGTTTCCATGGCAACAAGTTTGACATACACTGAAATTGGTGATAGTGCTCGTTTCTGGAGCATAACTTTAAAAACCTTTCAATACTCTCCTTCCACTTTTCTATATACACACCTAAATATTTCATAACTCGAGACATAATCATAACTCGTATTGATGACTTTGTCTTCTTGTTGGAATATGCATCAAGTTTAAGCCAGTATTTTATGAAACCGTATTTATAAACATTGGAGTAACCATTCACCATAAGCACCAAGTATTTGGATATTGATATACTTTGGTCTAACATCCTAATAATATTGTTAATTTCTCACCCGTCAAAAAAAATCATAAATAAATGCATAGTTTGGTGTTTTGGTTTATACCACCATTTATATCAACTGCATAATGTAAACCAGAGTGGAAAAAGCATGAGATGTATCGATCCTTGCATTTGTGTCCGTTTCCCGGCTGCGCTGGGAACTGGAACAAAATAGATAAGAACATTTGATTAGATCTAAACTAATAGCACTTTTATGTTACAGATTCCGATTCATAGATAGTGAATATGCAATAGGAAAGGAATGACAATGTGATTCATTCAATAAAAACAAACGATTACGCAACTACGATATCAGAACACCATGAAAGAAAGTATTTGCCGCATCCCTTCCTGGTTTCATACCGGGATCTATCGTAGTCGTAGTGGTTGCAGTCATCACGGACGTGGTGGTTGTAGCTAACGTGGGCGTGGTGGTTGTAGTTATCAGTGGAGCGCTGGTTGGATTCGTCACAGGAGTGGTGGTTGTATTTATGATTGGAGTGGTGGTTGTATTTATCGTTGGATGGGTGGTTATATTTATGATTGGAGCGGTGGTTGTATTTATCACTGGAGTGGCAGTTGTATTAGTCACAAAAGAGGTTGTTGTATTTATCACTGGAGTGGTTGTATTGACCACTGGAGAGGGAGTTGTATTGATCACAGAAGAGGTGGTTGTATTTATGATTGGAGTGGTGGTTGTATTTATCACTGAAGAAGTGGTTGTATTTATCACTGGAGAAGTGGTTGTATTTATCACTGGAGAGGTGGTTGTATTTATCACTGGAGTGGTGGTTGTATTGATCACTGGAGACATGGTTGTACTTATCACTGGAGTGCTGGTTGTATTAATCACATAAGAGGTGGTTGTATTTATCACTGGAGCGGTGGTTGTATTTATCACTGGAGTGGCGGTTGTATTAATCACAGAAGACATGGTTGTATTTATGATTGAAGTGGTGGTTGTATTTATCACTGGAGTGGTGGTTGTATTAATCACAGAAGAGGTGGTTGTATTTATGATTGGAGTGGTGGTTGTATTTATCACTGGAGAAGTGGTTGTATTTATCACTGGAGAGGTGGTTGTATTGATCACTGGAGTGGTGGTTGTATTTATGATTGGAGTGGTGGTTGTATTTATCACTGGAGAGGTGGTTGTATTTATCACTGGAGCGGTGGTTGTATTGATCACTGGAGACGTGGTTGTATTTATCACTGGAGCGGTGGTTGTATAGATCACTGGAGACGTGGTTGTACTTATCACTGGAGTGCTGGTTGTATTTATCTCAGGAGAGGTGGTTGCATTTATCACCGGAGAGGTGGTTGTATTTATCACTGGAGAAGTGGTGGTTGTATGTATCACTGGAGAAGTGGTTGTATTGATCACTGGAGAAGTGGTGGTTGTATTGATCACTGGAGAAGTGGTGGTTGTATTTATCACTGGAGATGTGGTTGTATTTATCACTGGAGAGGTGGTTGTATTTATCACTGGAGAGGTGGTTGTATTTATCACTGGAGAGGTGGTTGTATTTATCACTGGAGAGGTGGTTGTATAAGTGGTTGTATTGATCACTGGAGAAGTGGTTGTATTTATCACTGGAGAGGTGGTTGTATTTATCACTGGAGAGGTGGTTGTGTAAGTGGTTGTATTGATCACTGGAGAAGTGGTCGTATTTATCACTGGAGAGGTGGTTGTATTTATCTCAGGAGAGGTGGTTATATTTATCGCTGGAGACGTGGTTGTATTTATCACTGGAGAAGTGGTTGTATTTATCACTGAAGAAGTGGTTGTATTTAACATTGGAGTTGTTGTTGTAACTATCATGGGCGAGGTTGTGCTAGTAGTTGGCGTGATGCCTTTTGTTGTCATTGGCAAGGTTGTTGTAGTTGGCATATCTGAATTGGTAACTGAAATACGAAGAAATGTTTGGCCACTCAAAGCTGTTGGATACATACACTAGGTAAAGTAAGAAATATACAGAGCGACAGTAAACCAGTAAATGAGAATAGTATTCAAATTGCAGCAGTTGTAAAACAATTAGTGAAGTGGTCCTTGTAACCTAAGGCTATGAGCTTCGGTTATAGGGATTTACAACTGGATTAAACTGTGTGATATCCTGCAAATAGTGTTACCTGTGAGTTGGACACGGTCGTATGAACAATACCACCTATATAATCTATATCTCTCTCTCTATATATATATCTATGTGATGAACATACATGAACAGCTTACCACCAGTACGAATCGTTTAAGCATTAAAACAGGCACTTTGACCTGTTTTGGTACGTGGGTGCTAGAAGTGAGGCATTACATGAGTTGCTAATTTTAGAATACAAAAACTATTTTCTATTTCCTCCTATATGCACCTCATGCGCATGAATGTTTATAAAGTTGTGGCGCAAGGTCGTTGTAGGCCAGCAGGAGTAAAGAGGGAATCTATGAGATTAACTTTTCCTGTAACAATGTTCAGCTGGTGCTGATCCACTGCTCTTATATTCCACTACCACGTATTTCAAAACATGTGCATTACTTCTGTATAAAGTGTCATTTGAATATGATGTGTGAATTCTGGAAACAAACATGTAAACACTCACCTACTGTAAACACGGTGGAGGATGTATCAAGACACGGTTGGCATAGCCTCACTCCATGGGTGGAATAACACACGCACCTATCGTCATCCTGTCTGTAGGGGTCCACAGGCTGAATCTGACAAGGGTAAAGAGATGTACGAATGTTGCTGTTGCTGTTGTTGATGATGATGATGATGATGGTGGTGGTGATGATGATGATGATGATGATGATGATGATGATGGTGGTGATGATGATGATGATGATGATGATGATGGTGGTGGTGGTGGTGATGATGATGATGATCATCATCATCATCATCATCATCATCATCATCATCATCATCATCATCATCATCATCATCATGACAGCCCGGACAGCTGTATTAACTTTGACTAACAAAAAACGCAATATGTATTATAGCTTTCTACTTTGTTATTACTGTATAGCGTATACCAGCCGTAGGGCAGCATATGCTCACTTCTTCACCATAACTTGAGATTTTATAGTGACAAAAATACATGTCCCTGGCATAGTGGTATTGTACATTCGGCTCTCCTCTCGCAAGGGATTTCTTGTGGCTGTGGGAAGAGCTTTGTCACTTTTATTTATAAAGTATGTCTGTCGTACCTATTGTTATTACAGTGTGTACTGTGTCTGGGAGAGATATATGGATATATACTGGACAAAATAAGTTAGGGATATTGGTATTATTATGATTGATATTTTATCAATGTGTCAATGAATAAATAGATCATATTTTTAAACTTATCCTATCTCACGACTTGCACCTCTCTCTCTTCATTCGACCATGAGTGGAAACGAATTAAAACTTTGCTCCAGGCCTACCTTGCCCCTCTCCCGTGCTGTGCGTGCCTTCCTGTGTCAGTCATGCTCTCTAGTCCATGACAGCATGAGGCATGCGCAGTCCTCACCGACGTGATCACCTCACATACTCATTCTCTTTCTTATCGCTCCACTGAGTGGACGTGAAAATTTTTTCGTCTGAGATTTGCTCAAAATGGTTAAGCCTGTTCAGGCCAGTAAACGGATGTTTTGCGCCCGTTGTAATACAGTATTTTCAGCATGGGACCCACACACATCGTGTGTTGATTCTGTGGGTGTTTGTGACTGGGACACACGCTGTCCGAAGTGTTCAGGTCTGTCTAATGAGGCGTTTCAAATTTTACAAACGTGCTTGTGCCAGACGTTTGGCAGATAGGGCTAGGACGAATTCTGCGGGGTCTGCTTAGATCGCCCCACCCTCACTGCTCACCGCTCTCAATCGCCCGTCTCTCCTGACGAAGATTTTATGGACGCTTCGTTGGATTCCTATTTATCTGAGAACGTTACAAGGCTTTAGGGGATCTTCCCTCACCCAGTTTAAGTTCTCTTGAGCGTACCAGGGTGGTAATGACCGATATTTCTTCTACGCCAGACCTGCGATCTACATTATCTCGTATGTCTGCTTCTTCGGAACGATAACAGACTTCGAGAACTTCTAAGCATTCATCGTCGAAGCGGGGATCGGCGCGGTTGTAACGTACCGCTCTCCTATTTCCACGGCTGGGAGGAGTCGTTCTAGGTCTCATTCACTTTCCCGAGCCGGCTCACCCCGCCGAGCCGGCTCACCAGGCCGAACCGGCTCACCCTGCCAAACCGGCTCACCAGTACATCTTCGAATGGGTTCACCTGACCGAACTGATTCACGTAATCAATGGGTTCACCTGACCGAACTGATTCACGTGATCGAAGGGGTTCACCAGGACGAACAGGTTCACATTACCGACTCAGTTCACCTCAACATAGGTTTCAGTTCGGCACACCATCAGCGTTTTGATTCCCATAGTCGTTCAGTCTCGCTTGGTCGAGGTGGTTGGCCATTTCGGTCCGGTTTACCTAGACGTACAGTGTGTTTTTGTCAGGGTGATTCTCGTAGTCGAACCTGCCGAACTGGCTCACACGGCCGAGCCGGCTCACACAGCCGAACCGGCTCACACAGCCGAGCCGGCTCACCACAACATCTTCGAATGAGTTCAGTTGATCAAACTGATTCCCGTAGTCGAATGGGTTCCTCTTGCCGTACTGTTTCACGTACTCAAATAGGTTCACCAGGACAAACCGGTTCGCATTCCCGACTCAACTCACCTCAATATGTGTTTCCGTTCGACTCACCACAGCGTTTTTGATTTCCGTAGTCGTTCAGTCTCACCTAGTCGAAGTGGTAATTTTATGGACGCATCATTAGCTGTCTTCGCGTGGTTCCGCCTCATCAAAACGCTCTGTGTTGCCAGTTGACTCACACATCCGATCTACATCGTCAAATAGCCGAACCGATTCACCACACCGAATCGGTTCGCCATACCGAATGGATTCACCAGACCGAACCGTTTCGCCATACCGAATGGATTCACCACACCCAATCGGTTCGCCATACCGAATGGATTCACCACACCCAATCGGCTCGCCATACCGAATGGTTTCACCAGACCGTACCGTCAAATTGCCGAACCGATTCACCACACCGAATCTGTTTGCCATACCAAATGGATTCACCAGACCGAACAGTCCAATCGCCGAACCGATTCACCACACCGGTTGGTTACGCCATACACGAATGGATTCGCCAGACCGAACCGGGCATGCCACGCCATATATGTGAATCGACATTGACTCAGTTCGCCATAATATTAAAACTATTTCTTATCGCGGAAACAGTTCACATCATCGATTCAATTCACAGCACCGAAGCGATTCACCTCGGCGAACATTTCACTTAAGCCTCACTGGTTCATCTGAGCCGTTCTAGATCTCTCCATCAGCTGAGATCATTTAACCGTTTCGGATTACCGAACCGATCCAGATCAGTCACAATTCAGATCACATCGGACTGATTCAGATCACGTCAACTTTCCGGCTCACCACCCTGAACTGATTTACCAGCAGGCTCGTACCGTTTCACCAGGTCGAAGGCTCCCTATCGTCGAACCAGTTCACCTGGCCGTTTAAGATCAATGTACAGAGGTAGTAGCTATGTGCTTCACCATGCCGATTTGATTTACATGTGATGTTAGTAGCGCAGTCATCTAGAGATATCATGCTCGACGCGTGGCGGCCTGACGATCCCAGTTCTCAAGAGTCCTCCGTGACCGGGGCTCATCGCATTCCAGATTTAATCTATCATCCGATCTTCACTTTTGATGAATGATTCGGTTCAACGATTCTACCCTTCGGTGTAGATATCAGTTCTGCAACCACCCCATATGGCATAACTAGATACGCTTGCTAGCCAGGAATACTCTACGACGATCCGATGAGTCTTGTTACTACAGACCATTGGTAACAGCGTGTTTGTGTATCACTGGGTGCAATTGTTGTAGACGGCTCGTCATCTTCAGCTCCCTTTGTTTTACATGATAAGCAAGTTTCTGGACAGATAACAAATGGGTGAAGTTCTTGAGCATGGTACCAGCAATGATTTGTCAAATAGCCACCATAGCTCAGCCCGGAATTTACGGGTTGCGACTCGCCCGATTAACCAAAGACCATGTTGTCCGTATATTTTGTCACTCGTGTGTAACGTTTGCAAATGGCGGACTACTGTTTGTTTACCGGAATTTTGATGATTAGAGTGACTATGAAGTGCCCTTGCAGAATTCTCTTGGTCCCACGAATCGGATACCAAGTCCAGCCTTTAAATGCAAGTAACAACGAACGCTGTCATTCCCGCTAAGAATGACTGTGTCGGGATTTTGATAGCCAGTCGAGAGAGACTGCTTATTGAGGGTGACGGACAGAAACACCTGTGAACGGTTTGACTAGTCAAGCACTGAGTTCAGAGGTCACTGCATTATGCAAGGACTGTCACCAGGCAGCGATCTACTACCTTTATCACTCCACCTGGCGCACCATTATTTTGTTCTGCCCAAAAAAAACAAAAAAAACGTTCCTGAGGTCACCGATCCTACGAATTTCTACAATTTGTTTATAAGGTGAACGTTCCTGTAGATTGACTGACAATCTCCATGCGCCGAACATACTACATTGAGCACTCCGTCCGAACTGACGTAGTTGCTCGACTTATTGAACGTTCTTATATCAGGAGATATCTTTTTGTCAGAGGCAAGAGTGGTTAGACCTCTCATTCCCTCGACCTGCGATGGCCGTGGGGTAGCCTAGTGGTTAAAGCGTTGACTCGTCAAGCCCAAGACCCCGGTTCGATCCCCACATGGGCACAATGTGTTAAGCCCATTCTGGTGATAACAAGCTACCTGCATTGTCGCAGCGTGACAATTGACAACAATATCGACGACTGTGTTCAAGCCCAGCAGGATCCAGTCGTCCTTCCCTTCCACAGACAGTTCATCCTCAAGTTGCTCACGCAATTAGGATGGCTGCTAAATTCGGAGCAATCAGGGGTAACACCGACCCGCTGTTTCTTCTTATTGGGACAATATTCAACACGCCAGGTCATGATGTGTGTGCCCCAGGAGAAGTGGGACAAGATTCAGTGCAACGCACCACTAGTGTTGGTCCAACCCACACCTTTTCGCCAGTGGCAGAAGTTACTAGGGTGGTTGGCGTCAGCACAAGTGCTGACTTACAGGGGCCAGCTGCAGCTTGCCCTCTTCAGATGTTTCTGTGCCCATACATCGGGGGCGACAACCCCAGGGAGTTGATTCGCCTCTTCCCGCAACTTACATTCAGTCTTTTGTTGGTGGATCAATAAGTGGAATGTTTGTGTTGGAGTCTCTAGGGTGCCCTTCATACCGACTCAACACCTATTCGCTGGCACATCTTGCAAGTTGGAAGCTCACTTTCTCCATCAAGTGGCCTAGCAGTGGTCATCAGGAGAAAGGGCCCTTCATCTACAACGGTGGAATTCAGCACTGTCATATCGCCTGTTAGGCACTTTTCGGGACAACTATCAGCTTCAGCAGATGATCACCAGTTGCGATCGTTTCTGCTTTGTGTACAATCTGAATAAAATTCTGAATTTTATTTCTGATTTGTGTCTTCGATTCTTCTGGGACTTGTGAGTTTCGATTCAATTACCCTTTCACCCTCCACGGGGCGGTGTCTGTGGGGGTTGTGTCAAAGCAGGGGATGGCCTCGATACTGGTCGTCAGACCTTGGAAATCGTGGTAATCTCGACTGTTTACACTTTCGCTAAGCTCGTCCTTTCACTTGCATGAAGGTAGTGACTGAACACCCCATTGCTCGGGAATCCCGGTCCCTGGAGCACTTGTGTTTAGTACGTCAATGGGTTCGAACTGACCATCGCAGATCTCACTTTTGAGACGCTGGAGGGTCGCCACCTCACTTACTGTCCCCTGCTCCACGGAGTAATTACATCAGTGAAGTGAATCATTCCCGAAGTGTTACACTTCGTAGCGTTACCTAAAGCATCGCAAGAGCGCCGCCGTCTGCGTAAGAGACTGTTTATACCCTTGTCTACTGCTTCCAAGGCGGAAGTCTCTCGCACAACAATCTCATATTGGCTACGAGCTACAACACTACGAGCCTACACTTTGTCGGTTTTACCACCACCTACGGCAGTCAACCTTCATGAAACCAGGGCATTGACTTCTCATGGCGTTGCATAGCAACTGCTCGTTAACTGCCATAATGGAGGATTGTTTTGGGCGATCTGACACAGTTTTTTCGTCTTATTACCTCAGAGATGTGTCGGTGACGGATATTCAAGGCCTTCATCAGTTTGGACCACTCGTCCTTGCCCAGCAGTTATCAGCGGCACAACATCACAGATAATGAACTTCCTTGTGCTCCGATGCTCTATGGATCCCACTGTGCAGTTGATCCCAAGTCGCGATCGTGTCTGCTTGTGTACAATCTGAATGAATCTGAAAAACTTTTTCAGATTTCCGTCTTTATTTCTTCCGGGATTTAGATTTCTCCTCTCATTTGTTTGAGACTACAGAGAGTCGCCACCTCACTTACTGTCCTCTGCTCCACGGAGTAATTAAGTCAGTGAAGTGAGTCTTTCCCGAAGTGTTACACTTCGTAGCGTTCATGCTCCTAAGTGCCTATACACATCTATGTGATCTTACTGTGGTAAGTAGTGGAAGTCATAAGATGATGTTGTGGTACTGAACGTTAAAATTGTGAGTTTTACCCGATTCAATTTCTCTTTCACCCTCCTCGGACGTTGTCTGTGGGGGTTGTTTGAAGCAGGGCTAGCCCGATACTAGTCGTTGGACTTTTATTACGAGGGTACCTTGGAAATCGTGGGCGATGCGACTGATTACACTTTCGTTAAGCTCACGTCCTTTCACTTTGTGAAGGTAGTGACTGAACACCACATTGCTCGGGAATCTCGGTCCCTGGGAGCAATTGTGCTTAGTAAGTCAATGGGTTCGCCCAGTAACCCTGCATGCGTAGTAACTTGGTAGTTATTGGCCTACCTTGTAGTTGCTTCCCTCGGGTTGTTTGGGCATAACACTTAGCTGTTATCGGCTTGAATTTGGGGTAATCTATGACCCACCTTCCTACCGTGGGATAACTGCAAATTCGTGAGATAGGATAAGTTTAAAAATTTGAAAATTTTAACTATAAATTGTATATTTATATACTTATCCTATCTCACGAGATAAAGTCCCTCCCCACTACATAGATTACCACCGTTCCGGTTTTGTCCTTTTATGGCTCCAAGATCGAGAATGAGTATGTGAGGTGATCACGTGGGTGAGGACTGCGCATGCCTCGTGCTGTCATGGACTAGTGAGCACGACTGACACAGAAGGCACGCACAGCACGGGAGAGGGGCAAGGTAGGCCTGGAGCAAAGTTTTAATTCGTTTCCACTCATGGTCGAATGAAGAGAGAGGTGCAAGTCGTGAGATAGGATAAGTATATAAATATACAATTTATAGTTAAAATTTTCAATAGTCATAATTTCAAAATTTACATACATCCCTAACTATTTTTGTCCAGTATATATACTGAGGTGAACAAATAAGGCAACATCACATCATCGTAATGGTTCCTTTCCATTTTGCACCAATTTTGATTACCCGCAAAACACGGCTTGCGTACGAGCCTGAGCAGGGATATATAAAGTAACACTTGTATTTGTATGCATTCCTTTATTTGCTTCCCCCAGTATAGTTGCTGATAACATACATGGATGACGTATTGTCCAACTGCAATATCACTGAAGGATGCCAAAACTGTGGTATCATTCTGTGAAGGAGGATCGACTTTCTGGAAAGAAAACGTCACCATAATGATTCAGACGCCCACATTACAACAGAGGCAAAACATCTACTCTAATTCCATGTTAACCAGAAAGATGATCACTTAATGCAGTGCGTTAATGTCATCCGGTACCAAAATGTTGAGTATCATAAGGTCATGTCAAAATAATGTGACGGTGGGAAACATCAAGGATAAAGCTGGTATTTTTGAAAATACATGTCCTCCTGTCAGGTTCTAGGTTAAAAACGATCTTCGGCAACCCATGTTTGTCGTGGATCGAGTGGCCATCCTATGACTTGGTTGCTGTCATCGTACCCCAATTACGACGGACGATTATCATGACATCAACCACTGGTTTGTCGTGTCCCGACTCAGTTATTACAGATTATTATAGGCTGCATAGCTAAACTACAGAGCACGCTTGACCGACAAACAACCAAATTAAAGTGACTGAGTGAGTGAGTTAAACTTTAAAGTCACTTTGGCAATATTTCAGCCATATCGTGATTAAAACAAGTTATAGATTAACAATAAGTAAAGATAGATTACATAATCCTGTCATCAAAGGACAGTAAAACAACTAGAACATCACAGATATAAATGTAAACCTAGCAATTAAATCTAAAACATGTTTACTATAGAGGACAACACAATATAAAAATAGGGTATAGATCGCCAACAACTGAAATCAAATTAAATAAATCAAATAAATATAAATACGAGTATATGTATACAACTCACCGTGCCTTGGCAAAAGTAACTAGAATCGATCGACATAATGCATGTCTCTACAGCATTTAGACTGTCATTCTTCGATACCAGCATCACAGTGTATTGTCTGAAGCCATATGTCGGAAGTGCTAGGCTGAATCTGGCCTCGATAGTTGCAGGTGCAGTGAAGTTCACCTCGTCATAGGATAAAAACGGGATCCAGTTGCTTGCAGGTATTACCATTCCCTCTGAAACAAATCAGTGCATGTGCCACATTGTGTCTAATTCATCCCTCATTGGATATAAGGATACACAATTAGGGGGGGGGGGGATTTCTATTCCGCTGAAAGTCAGTCAAGTAAGATTAAATGTGTGGCTTAAATGAAAAGCTGAAGTAAGATAGTGATGAACTTTACTTGAATATACACCATAAGCAATTTTCAGTTGACGATTGTATCTCTCATATAATCCATCCCACCACGATGGTGTTGCATTTCGAGACCAATCTCATCGGTGCAACGTTAGCCTTACCTGCATACACGTGTTCGGTTACTCGACCATGAAAGACAATGTGTATAGTTAACGATTGGTTGATTGGTTTGTTGTTTAACACCGCACTTAGCAATATTCCAGCTATATGGCGACGGTGTGTAAAGAATCGAGTCTAGACCAAACAATCCAGTGTTGGTATAGTTATCGACACAGGCTATTTATAATAATAATAATAAATGCATATTTATAATGCGCCCCTTCCACCCCCTAAGGCATGCTCAAAGCGCTACAGAATATTTACACTGGAGTATTTACAGATGAAGTTATACATAATATACTGAGAAAAGGTGGGTTTTAAGTCTGGACTTAAAAATGTCAATTGTGGCAGAGCTTTTAAGGGCACATGGGAGAGAGTTCCAGAGCACAGGCGCGGAGTAAGAGAATGATCGGTGTCCGAAGGATTTCAGTTTGTAGGATGGGATGACCAGTCGGTTTTGTGTGTTTGAGCGCAAGTTGCGTGCGGGGACATACGGATGTAGGAGTTCAGACAAGTAGGAGGGGAGCCAAACCATGGAGGCACTTGTACGTCAGACAGAGGATCTTAAAGTCAATTCTGGCCCTAACTGGTAGCCAATGCAGTTCTTTCAACACTGGTGTTATATGGGAACGTTTAGAAGTCTTGCTGATGATGCGGGCGGAAGTATTTTGTATCTTCTGAAGCTTATCAAGGAGTTTAGAACTGAGGCCCGAAAGGATGCTGTTACAGTAATCAAGCCTAGATGTAACAAGAGCTCGAACAAGGGCTTGAGTTGCAGTAGTTGTCAGGTATTGCCGAATGTTACCAATGGATCTTAGGTGAAAGTAGCAGGTCCTGCTCAGACGGTTAACATGAGCATCCAGAGTCAAGGAAGAAATATTCTCAGATCATGCGTCTATGACATACTGTGTTGGGAATAGATATTTCTGTTAACGTGAAAACACGTTCAACGTGACCTTGAGCATAACACTAAACAGTGATAATAGCAATTCAATATTCTTACTGATAATCAGTTCAGAGACTCACTATGATGCTGTATGTTTCTACCAGACCAATAAGACACTCAAGAATGTAATTTGTTTCTTTCAGGAACTCTCTATACAGCACTGCTGTTATCATTTTCTATAAAGGCATGCTGTATGCAACACAGACAGTGACAGTACTTTAAGATCATTCGCCCATGACATCCTGCATGCTGTGCTACTCAATTCATTGTAACTTATACCGAAGGTTTTTTTCTGTTCAATTCTGACTCTCGCACTTTGGATAGGCTGCTCTCAAACACTGATAAAATTGTGTCACCATTTCTGTGTTAGTTCTAGCTTGATGATATGACCCAGGCAGGGTGATTACATACTTTGAAATGGCTGCAGCGTGAAGAACTTGGTCAGTCTGGCATCTGGTGGGTGACGTGGAAGGGATGTCAGATCCAACTGATACAGCAGGTGTGACCCGCCAGAGAATCCAACCAGTTTCTTCTGGAACTTCAGCTGTAAGACACGGCTCAGAGGAACTTGTTTCTGGGTGAAGTTTATATTTTTATACACAAATAAGACCTACAATGTCGGATAGCAATTAAGAACTTCTTAATCATGTTCTTCGTGTATATAAACTCACATAGAATATACCTAACATAATCTGGTCAGAGGTGGTGTGAGCTGCCAGAGAAGTTAACCAGCCTCTTCTGAAAAACCAGCTGAGACATTACGCACACATTTCATATGATTTGCGCCACTTTTGTTTTTGCATGAGCAATTTGCGACAAAAGGTTTAAAAAAACCCGGGCATTACCTTTGTACCGCTTACGTCGAACAGAGAATCAGAAAAGTCAAAAATCCTGCAAACTAGTTTAGAGCTGTTATTTGTGGAGTCATAGGTCCGTATTTCAAGAAGAAATGCCCGAATGTGCCCACGTCCAGACCCTGCAAAAGAACACACACATGCATATGTATAAGCATTGAATATATAGATAAATAGTTGTGCTGGGCACAAATATCTGGAGTCCATTATGTATTAATATACACACACACGCCCGCGAAGGCGCGCACACACATACCTGTAGTGCACTAAACAAATATCTGGATTTCATATATATGCATTTACCTACACACACAGACACAGGTATGTATGTATTGCGTGTGTGTGTGTACACATATGCCCATATAGATCATTATATTTCCACGAGCCCACTTCAGATCACAGACGGAAGTTACCTCACACTCAACGAGGAGACTAAAGACATTTGAATGCTACAACAGAATAGCAATGTCAACTCAAAAAAACCCATTTCTAACAATTGTGTCTTTGACACTTTTCTCAGGTTCTGTTGGTATGTTTGGGAGGTAGATCTTATCACATCCACACAAATACCAGTATCCCTACTCATTGGACAGCAAACGTTTAATAACTAACTTTGTAACGTATTACTACCTTCTGTAGTTTCTGATATTTCCCATTCTATGATCATCTGGGGGCTGCTATTGCTTTTTGGGTCTTTAATAAGCCCTCCATGTACCGACAAGGAAGCAGGAGCTGTAGCTGGTATGTCACCCTCTAGATGTGGTGGAAGGCTGCCATTACATCCTATGTGTATGTAAGCAAACAATGGTAAACTCGTAGAACGAGTAGGATAAGCATTGTGTCACAATGGTATCTCTACGTATGTAATAAATCGGGCAATCAGCAATCTCTGAATACAATTTCTAATTTAAAAGAAAGTGGACAGTTAGGGCTTGTAAAGAACATAATTAAGAATTTTTAGAGGCAATAAATTTGTTGAGTTTCCTAATGCAACTATGAAACTTTATCCTTACAAGTTAAATATTACATTCCATTCATATTTTAAAACATGCTGCATTATGTAAGCCCGTTACGAAGCAACAATATCGTTATGTATAAATGTTGAGTAAACTCGGTGGTTTTAATGTTCTAGAGGAAAGAATAATCCAAGCATATGACGCACGGTCTGTCCCATATAGTGCGCAGGTCAAAGGCTGACTCTGAAATTTAAGAAGACACAAATGAATACCCAATCACACATTGTCAACTGGACCAAGACGTGTAAGAATCTTGGCTGCGACACTTCCAGCTTATGCTGTGGAGTGTAAGGTGTGGATTCTACAATGTCTGTTATATGTGACACATGTTTATTACCATATGAAGTAAACTTAAAACAACTACATTGAATTTTGCTATGTCCGTTATGTCTGATACATGTTTACCGTCAAAAGAAGTAACCTTATATGACATGCATTCGGCTTCGTTATGTCTAAAAATGGGGTACATGTTAACCGCAAATGAAGTAAACTTTAGTAACTACAGCCAACATCGTTATGGTACATGATTATTATCAAATGAAGTAAACTTTAGTAACTACAGCCAACATCGTTATGGTACATGACTATTATCAATGAAGTAAACTTTAGTAACTACAGCCAACATCGTTATGGTACATGATTATTATCAATGAAGTAAACTTTAGTAACTACAGCCAACATCGTTATGGTACACGACTATTATCAATGAAGTAAACTTTAGTAACTACAGCCAACATCGTTATGGTACATGACTATTATCAATGAAGTAAACTTTAGTAACTACAGCCAACATCGTTATGGTACATGACTATTATCAATGAAGTAAACTTTAGTAACTACAGCCAACATCGTTATGGTACATGACTATTATCAATGAAGTAAACTTTAGTAACTACAGCCAACATCGTTATGGTACATGACTATTATCAATGAAGTAAACTTTAGTAACTACAGTCAACATCGTTATGGTACACGACTATTATCAATGAAGTAAACTTTAGTAACTACAGCCAACATCGTTATGGTACACGACTATTATCAATGAAGTAAACTTTAGTAACTACAGCCAACATCGTTATGGTACATGACTATTATCAATGAAGTAAACTTTAGTAACTACAGCCAACATCGTTATGGTACACGACTATTATCAATGAAGTAAACTTTAGTAACTACAGCCAACATCGTTATGGTACATGACTATTATCAATGAAGTAAACTTTAGTAACTACAGCCAACATCGTTATGGTTATGGTACATGACTATTATCAATGAAGTAAACTTTAGTAACTACAGTCAACATCGTTATGGTACACGACTATTATCAAATGAAGTAAACTTTAGTAACTACAGCCAACATCGTTATGGTACATGACTATTATCAATGAAGTAAACTTTAGTAACTACAGCCAACATCGTTATGGTACATGACTATTATCAATGAAGTAAACTTTAGTAACTACAGCCAACATCGTTATGGTACACGACTATTATCAATGAAGTAAACTTTAGTAACTACAGCCAACATCGTTATGGTACATGATTATTATCAATGAAGTGAAACTTTAGTAACTACAGCCAACATCGTTATGGTACATGACTATTATCAATGAAGTAAACTTTAGTAACTACAGCCAACATCGTTATGGTACATGACTATTATCAATGAAGTAAACTTTAGTAACTACAGCCAACATCGTTATGGTACATGACTATTATCAATGAAGTAAACTTTAGTAACTACAGCCAACATCGTTATGGTACACGACTATTATCAATGAAGTAAACTTTAGTAACTACAGTCAACATCGTTATGGTACATGACTATTATCAATGAAGTAAACTTTAGTAACTACAGCCAACATCGTTATGGTACATGACTATTATCAATGAAGTAAACTTTAGTAACTACAGCCAACATCGTTATGGTACGACTATTATCAATGAAGTAAACTTTAGTAACTACAGCCAACATCGTTATGGTACATGATTATTATCAATGAAGTAAACTTTAGTAACTACAGTCAACATCGTTATGGTACATGACTATTATCAATGAAGTAAACTTTAGTAACTACAGCCAACATCGTTATGGTACATGACTATTATCAATGAAGTAAACTTTAGTAACTACAGCCAACATCGTTATGGTACACGACTATTATCAATGAAGTAAACTTTAGTAACTACAGTCAACATCGTTATGGTACATGACTATTATCAATGAAGTAAACTTTAGTAACTACAGCCAACATCGTTATGGTACACGACTATTATCAATGAAGTAAACTTTAGTAACTACAGCCAACATCGTTATGGTACATGATTATTATCAATGAAGTAAACTTTAGTAACTACAGTCAACATCGTTATGGTACATGACTATTATCAATGAAGTAAACTTTAGTAACTACAGCCAACATCGTTATGGTACATGACTATTATCAATGAAGTAAACTTTAGTAACTACAGTCAACATCGTTATGGTACATGACTATTATCAATGAAGTAAACTTTAGTAACTACAGCCAACATCGTTATGGTACACGACTATTATCAATGAAGTAAACTTTAGTAACTACAGCCAACATCGTTATGGTACATGACTATTATCAATGAAGTAAACTTTAGTAACTACAGTCAACATCGTTATGGTACATGACTATTATCAATGAAGTAAACTTTAGTAACTACAGCCAACATCGTTATGGTACATGATTATTATCAATGAAGTAAACTTTAGTAACTACAGTCAACATCGTTATGGTACACGACTATTATCAATGAAGTAAACTTTAGTAACTACAGTCAACATCGTTATGGTACACGACTATTATCAATGAAGTAAACTTTAGTAACTACAGCCAACATCGTTATGGTACATGACTATTATCAATGAAGTAAACTTTAGTAACTACAGCCAACATCGTTATGGTACATGATTATTATCAATGAAGTAAACTTTAGTAACTACAGCCAACATCGTTATGGTACACGACTATTATCAATGAAGTAAACTTTAGTAACTACAGCCAACATCGTTATGGTACATGATTATTATCAATGAAGTAAACTTTAGTAACTACAGCCAACATCGTTATGGTACATGACTATTATCAATGAAGTAAACTTTAGTAACTACAGCCAACATCGTTATGGTACACGACTATTATCAATGAAGTAAACTTTAGTAACTACAGTCAACATCGTTATGTACAACTATTATCAATGAAGTAAACTTTAGTAACTACAGCCAACATCGTTATGGTACACGACTATTATCAATGAAGTAAACTTTAGTAACTACAGCCAACATCGTTATGGTACACGACTATTATCAATGAAGTAAACTTTAGTAACTACAGCCAACATCGTTATGGTACATGACTATTATCAATGAAGTAAACTTTAGTAACTACAGCCAACATCGTTATGGTACACGACTATTATCAATGAAGTAAACTTTAGTAACTACAGCCAACATCGTTATGGTACATGACTATTATCAATGAAGTAAACTTTAGTAACTACAGCCAACATCGTTATGGTACGACTATTATCAATGAAGTAAACTTTAGTAACTACAGCCAACATCGTTATGGTACATGACTATTATCAATGAAGTAAACTTTAGTAACTACAGTCAACATCGTTATGGTACATGACTATTATCAAATGAAGTAAACTTTAGTAACTACAGCCAACATCGTTATGGTACATGATTATTATCAATGAAGTAAACTTTAGTAACTACAGCCAACATCGTTATGGTACATGACTATTATCAATGAAGTAAACTTTAGTAACTACAGCCAACATCGTTATGGTACACGACTATTATCAATGAAGTAAACTTTAGTAACTACAGCCAACATCGTTATGGTACACGACTATTATCAATGAAGTAAACTTTAGTAACTACAGCCAACATCGTTATGGTACACGACTATTATCAATGAAGTAAACTTTAGTAACTACAGCCAACATCGTTATGGTACATGACTATTATCAATGAAGTAAACTTTAGTAACTACAGCCAACATCGTTATGGTACACGACTATTATCAATGAAGTAAACTTTAGTAACTACAGCCAACATCGTTATGGTACACGACTATTATCAATGAAGTAAACTTTAGTAACTACAGCCAACATCGTTATGGTACATGACTATTATCAATGAAGTAAACTTTAGTAACTACAGCCAACATCGTTATGGTACATGACTATTATCAATGAAGTAAACTTTAGTAACTACAGCCAACATCGTTATGGTACACGACTATTATCAAATGAAGTAAACTTTAGTAACTACAGCCAACATCGTTATGGTACATGACTATTATCAATGAAGTAAACTTTAGTAACTACAGCCAACATCGTTATGGTACACGACTATTATCAAATGAAGTAAACTTTAGTAACTACAGCCAACATCGTTATGGTACATGACTATTATCAATGAAGTAAACTTTAGTAACTACAGCCAACATCGTTATGGTACATGACTATTATCAATGAAGTAAACTTTAGTAACTACAGCCAACATCGTTATGGTACACGACTATTATCAATGAAGTAAACTTTAGTAACTACAGCCAACATCGTTATGGTACATTACTATTATCAATGACTATTATCAATGAAGTAAACTTTAGTAACTACAGCCAACATCGTTATGGTACACGACTATTATCAATGAAGTAAACTTTAGTAACTACAGCCAACATCGTTATGGTACACGACTATTATCAATGAAGTAAACTTTAGTAACTACAGCCAACATCGTTATGGTACATGATTATTATCAATGAAGTAAACTTTAGTAACTACAGCCAACATCGTTATGGTACATGACTATTATCAAATGAAGTAAACTTTAGTAACTACAGCCAACATCGTTATGGTACATGACTATTATCAAATGAAGTAAACTTTAGTAACTACAGCCAACATCGTTATGGTACACGACTATTATCAAATGAAGTAAACTTTAGTAACTACAGTCAACATCGTTATGGTACATGACTATTATCAATGAAGTAAACTTTAGTAACTACAGCCAACATCGTTATGGTACACGACTATTATCAATGAAGTAAACTTTAGTAACTACAGCCAACATCGTTATGGTACATGATTATTATCAATGAAGTAAACTTTAGTAACTACAGCCAACATCG